TAAGGTTTCCTTTTTTTACCTTATATTTTATTGTTCAACTTTTGTTTTTTTGGCCCATTAATATTTTTTTTACTTTTTTATTGTTCAAGTTGTTCAAATTTCTTGTTTTTATCTGGTCTTCACTGTAGGGTTTCATTTTTTACATTATTAAAATTAGTGGCTTCTCTCGGGGTATATATTTGTTATGTCTTCTAGCCACTCAGTAGGGTGTTTTGTCTTTCAAAGCAATTATATAACCCTGGGCTGTTCTAACCTACGGACTTCCTCATAACTTTGTGCTTTGAGTATTTTCAGAGCATCCACTATTGTTACAGTAAATTTTCAGTAAATTTACTGGTTGTGTCTGTAAAGTACAGCATCCGTACATACAGAAACACATGATTCCACTATTGTTTCTGTAAACATCATTCTGCACCATTCTGTACAGTAGATACTGTACAGAAAAGGCTTTATCCCACAATTGTGCCTCCAGTAAAAATCTGCAAGTCTGTTCAGACCTTGGCTCAAACACCCAAAGCATTGTCCAATTATCTAGATTTACAAGATGATGAGTTCCATTGTTATCTGATGAATGATCTCAAGATTCACAACTGGGTGGCACAAGGGGACAATATTTGGACACTGTTTACTCCATTTCATTGACTTGATGCTTTCAATTCCACTTTTCTTTACAAACTACTAGGAAGAAAAAATAAATAACAAGCAATGAAATGATAACAAATGTATCTGATAAGAGAAATATATCTTGAGTGATTGATTTGCAAAAACATTGTATGATGACATTGCAAAATCACACAATGTTTTCATTTGATGTTTTCATTCCGATTTATGAAATTTGATTGATGAGCAGGTGAAAGAGTTGATTGATAAGAAAATAAACATGTTGATCAATGAGAGGATAAAAAAGTTGTTTGATGAGAGCTTGAAAAAGTTGATTGGTGATTGAAATCAAAGAACATGTGATAGCAGAGGGTGATTTAAGGTAGTGATGGATCTTGATGGATTTGCTTGATCAATGAGAGGGTAAAACAGATGTTTTACCCTTGCACAGAAAAGTTGATTGTCAAGAGGGTGCTCAAAGTTGACAAGTATGTGACAGAGATGGTGGTTTTGAGCAAGGTGGTGATGGATTTGCCCAGTAGATTCTGTAGATTTGGTGGATACCAATTCGGTAGAGATTCTGCAGAGGTCCAGTAGATTTACGGGAGCTCTACAGATTTTTGACCAATTCTGTCGGTACCAATGTGTACTTTGTACACAATTGGGGATTTTGAGGCTTGGTACTGTAAATTTCAGTAAAATTTACCGTACCAAAGCTGTTTACAGAGACAATAGTGGATGCTCTCGTATACTGGTCATTGTAGGTTTGGGAATTGCATTTCATAAAGAAAGAAATCAGAGCCAACTTAGAACACCAAAAAGGGGCTATAAGGGAGCTATACAAGTTCAATCATAAGTGAATATATCTTTAAGAGCCTACATAGAATATCAAAGGACCTACACATCCTAATTATAAAGTCAAGGTAAAAGCAACGCTGAGACAGCAGCGCAACTCTACGCTAAATGACATGTTACGCGTAGAGTAACTTTATGCGCTAACGCAAAATTTTACCAGGAAGTAACGTACCTGGAAGAGCTACGTTATCGCGGATAGCGTAACTCATATAGACTCTCCCCGTTATCTGAACCCGATAGCGTGACTGAAACAGTTACGTTATCGTTACTGTAGCTCACTACGGGCTAAAAAAATCGCCTCACACCAAACAAAGGTCATTACTGCAAGAAAGCTATTTACCCAAGGTATAAAATGAAGAATGATCATTGGGAAAGATTAAAAAGGAAACATAACTGTCAATTTGGAAAAAGGTCGGAAAGAAAAGAAGAAAATGATCCAAAGATCTCAAACACTTGGTAGCATCAAATGCATCTTGTTGTAATTGACCATTACCTTATAACCATCTCCAAAAACCAGACTATTTCTTTATTTTTTCTGAACTCATCAACCTAAAATCAAGCATGATCCATGAACTACACCATCATTTGAACAAGAAGAATTAAAAATCGCATTTTGACCATCATGAGTTTGTAAAGATTCTTCCATTGAATCAGGTAGAGATAAAGTAGAAGTGTGTAAAACTGGTCTAAATTTAATAAAGATGATGAATCTACTAGATGGAACAATGTTTCAATTAAATCTGGATATGCTTTACTTAAGAATTCCAAAACTCGATTTCAAATAAAACATAGATTGTGATTGAATTTTAATTAATCATCAATTGACCTTTACCCATACCTATTGGTGATGGTAATCTTTTGTTAAAAGTGTATAAAGCTTAGAGTGAATCAGTGGATGATTTTTTTGAAAGAAAAAGTTCATTGGGGGTTGAACTTGAGCTCGCTTGGTTTAAATTTGGTGGTGAGGAATCGATGGAGATACAGATGGTCATCTTGATGAATTGATTGAAGTTGATGCGGGTTTGAATGTTCGATGGAAATCTATCCTTGGGTCACATGGAAATGTTGACTAAGTAAAGAAAAGTTTGTGATTATAATTGTTCATTTGAAAGAGTTTTGAGATTTGAAAATACTAACTGAGGAGAAGAAGGACCATAAACGTTTTCGTCTTCGGTTTTGACTTGACAACATGATGAGTTATTTTGTCAAGCTAGTGTTGAATCGGTCTAAGTGAAAGTGAAGATTGTTATTGATGACAACAATTTGATTTGATGAGATATGGTGATTTTCGATTTTGATTTTCAGGAGTTGATCATAATAATGAAGGTGCTGTTGATTGATGATCAGTAGTATTGTACGACTCGTTGAGTCTTGTTGAGTCGTTCGGATGATTGTAAATCAAGTTCTGAAATTCAAAATTCTCCCTATCGCCTGGCTGATTGAAATTGAAGTTGAGCCCCTTTGTTTGTTTGTGCGCAACATAGCTACCGTAACGGGCTGCGTGCCTGATGCGTAACTGTAAAACAATATACCCGTTATCCCAGGATGCTAACGTAACTGGTTTCAAAAATATTCGTTACGGCAACCCGAGAGCGTAACTCATTGGAGGCCCGCTAAGCTATCAGATAGAGTAACGCTTATAGTTACGTTATCTCTACGCTGACGCTACGGGTTGCGCTGCTGTCTCAGTGTTGGTCAAATCCTCAGGTCCCCAACCCAGGGATTATGAATCCAAGCCTTTGATTGCATTGAGTCTGGGTCCAGGATTGAGGATTGCTGAACAGACATAAACAGCCATCTTCTGGGACAACTCTTGATAATGGACAATCTTATCCACCACAGACATGATGGCCACTTTCAACTTTGTGCATTGAGAGTCCTGCCAATCCTACATTGAATATTGTATCAGAGAAGCCTTTGAAAAAGAAAATCGGAAAGTGGGGTACTTGTGACCATGAATTGATTTGTTGACTGTGGAAAGTGGGGCTAAAAGTGTGACAATTGTTCCAACTAGCTCCCATTCTTCATTGGTAAGGAGATAAGCTTTGAGTGCTGGATGACCTTCAGGGTAGTATCTAAAAGCATGCAATGTTGGGCCGGCCAAAAAGCTAATTTGTCAAAAACTCCATTGTATGAAAAGAACTTTCTCTGCTGTAGATTTTTTTAAAACGATATGTTTAATACAACTTTGGATTGCTATTGATGTGAGGATTTCAAGTCTGCCCTTGGCATCAAAATTGGATCAACTTTGTGGGTTTTATAAGCTTTTTCTCAAAATACCTGATTTCACACGTTTAGGCACAACCCACTATAGCATATGAGCTTTTGAAGGCTACAAACAGTTGAGACAGGTGTGTGTCAAATATCAGTAAATTGCTACTTCATGGTCCAAACTAACCTTTTGAGTTAGAGTGTTGCAGCTGTCAATGTTGTTGTTGAGGGCATAATCAAGCTGGCTGCTGTGCTTCACTCTTTTATGGAAGGCACCGATTTGAGTGAGTATGCTGGATAATTTGGAATGGGGAGTTGGTTTAATGAACAAGGGAACAGAGTGTTGAGGGACCAGTGCATTGACAGGGGCAGGAGTGGTCTTCTGATCAAAGACTGCCATCCCATTCTTAGTGGCCAGGTTGATAACATTTGCAACACATCTATGAAGATTCTTGGATGTGTTGACGTGAGGAAGCATTGTCTGAAGGGCATGTCCCACAGTTGTGTTGTTATGTTTTATTGGCAGTGATGCAGTAGAGGTGGTTGGAAATGTGAAAGGTTTCAAGAACTTTTTTGAGGATGATAGTCAGGTTTGCACCAGGGTGAGGGCCGTCAATGGTCTTCAAAGCCAGGGTGACGCCGTGCATCTTGAAATTGGTCAAGATCCAATGTGCAGTAACACCCAACATGGCTATGTTGCTGGGTGATGTCCATCTATCCCCATTGATACTGATGTGACTTACCTCAGTGATGCACTGGGTGATAGAATCTTGAGCCGCATGAAATTTGGCCAAGACACCGTTGGACATGCAAGTTTGCTTAGGAGGGAGGGACAGAGTGTTTGGGTTCACCATTGTGATAAGTTCTCAAAGTTCATTTGCATTGATGCTCAACATGGAGAGTTCTTGGCCAACCACAAAGCAAATAATGCATCCATGAGGTTTGCTCTGGTAAGTGTGTGAGCCTTCGACACAACAAAAAACAGTTCAAAAGTCATAAGTTATGAATAAAAAAGGATGGAAAGATAAAAGAAGAGAGAAATGAAATGAAATGAAAGTAAAGTCACAAATGAATGAGTGTGCAAGATAAATAAAGATATGTGAATTTTGACACAAGGGAATACATTTTAAAAATCCTTAATAACAAATAAGGAAAAGAATGAAAGAATGAAAGAAGAGAAAATAAAATTGAATCGAATTCAATCAAAAGGAAAGGAAAGTGATGAATATTTGAATGAGCATGATAGATAAATAAAAGTGAATTTGGCTTGATTCTCACCTTGGACATCTTCCCTTCCATAAGTATGCTGAACTTCTGTCAGTCCCGAGATCATTCTGCAAACAGCTAACCAATATTTATCTGATTCTCATTTATTTGTGTCTATAAGGTCAAGTAGTACAACTAAACAAATCTGAGAATCATGTATTCCAACCACACATACAACACAAAATAATACAATACATATGGTTACAAACTTGGATGAGATCAAACCATTTCCACATAACCTTCAAGTTTTGAGTGATTCAGTAAAGTTTTCTTCGCTTGCGGAGTCCATGACCACGACCTCTATACTCTCCTCAAGTGTCACAGCTGAGTTAGTTCTTGATCTCACACCCTCAGATGACCCGAACATCCTAGCATAATCATATCTTGATGAAAACCTATGTTATGCAGAGTTCAAAGAGAACATGTCAAGTCAACTTTGATTGAAGACATCTACACTCACCTCCTGAGATTAAGACTGTGAATGGCATGGATTGTTAGACATACCTCCAAGGGTGTATATCTTCGAAACTTGCGTCTGACCAAGTCTCAGGAGCACCTGCATCCAGTGAAAATGACCTATTAGATTGAAATTTGCAAACAATAGAAGCAATGTTTTTGCTTGTCACAGGAATTGATCGCTCACCTCCTCCTATGAAAGAAAATTTCGTTTTTTGAAGGTGTTCAAACTTTTGAAGTAAAGCAGAGACATCCTTGATTTTTTCGGAACCAGCGAGATGATAACTATCACTGACATGTGGATCGCGTTTTGTGATAGAAATATCATCGGATAAGCTGGCTAATCTCTGTAGACAAACCTCCAAGTCAAGCCGTGTAGATGAATGTCGACCTTGTTCTGACAAGATCGGCTGAATCCATTGCATAAACTGGTTTCGTACTTCGACGCTATGGGTGCGGCATAGCATTAATGGCGCATCTAAAAGATGAAATGGTATAGCAAATCATCAGTTCAAAACAAGCTTTGTTAGAATTATATCAAAGTCCGATGACATTTGGGAGTTTAATACTAACTAGGGATGGTTCTCAGCTCATTTTTGGAAGAAACTTGTAGAATTCCGTCGAGACGAGACGAGACTCCAAGTGTGCTTCTTGTATAAACCTTATCAGCACCTCCCTTCAAGTTCAACCACGTTAGTCAAAGCCCAAGTGAGGATCATGATGCAAGGAATTACGAACTTGTAGTATCAGGATAGGCTGCGTGACTGAAGTTTGGGCTTTGGCAGGAATCACATCACGCTATATAAACAAAGTTAGCATTCAAAAAATGATGAAGATATGAGGCTCCCAAATGGAGGCAAAAGATCACCACGTACCATGCTGTATGGCATTGTTCCCATCAATTGACCCACGGAATTGGAAGGTGGATATCTTCGCAAAAAGATGCCAGCATATTCGTCAAGTATATCAACGTCGTATTCCAACTCAGATCCAAAGTGGTACCATACTGTCGATGCTACGGCTGACAAAATCAGGAGAAGAAATGTAGACAGTAGCACGAGTTAATCAACCCCGTTAAAGGCTGAGTACAGCTAATGTTTCTCACCTTCGTGCCAGTCATCTGGAGTTTCGGGATCAGTCCAATGGTTAAAGCATTCAGCGAACGCTTTTTTGTTAAAGTCGTCCCTAACCAAACGAGATGCATGAGAATCATTAGTCATCAGCCTCGCAGCCTCTTCTTGGAACAAAGTGCAAAGTTCAACTTGAAGAATAGAATAGACAGATGACTTACTCTTGGTCTGATGGTAAACTACAAAGACATAAACTAGTAACTTTCTCCTTGAATACGAATCCCATTCTTAGTAATACTTCTGTTGCCCATGGGTGAGTACTCATGCAATGAGCATTTGGAATTTTCAGGAGCTCCATACCCATAGCTAAGTCTGCTGCTTGCGTATAACAATCGAAACAAGCCGAAGGGGATGATTCAGATCGACCATGATATCGATCATCAAAAAGAATCACATTGAAGTTTGCCCGCAAGACCGGGTCTTCAGACAAATGAGTGATGCAGGAGATATCCTGATATAACGGATGAACAATCAGTAGCCAAGGTGTCTCAGGTAAAGTGGGGTTTTGGGTACAAGGCTTAATTTCGTAGTACAGAGTCGTTCCAGGTGAGACTTGTGCGTGTGGCATGCTGTGGGTACGCGTGAGAAGAAGGATTGTAAACGCAGAATATGGAAACGAGATGATGGGATAGAAAATGTAATGCTCAATAGCTCCGTAAATATATAAAGAGATGCTGGGCGGTTCAATTTCTGATCGGCGTTCATAACTGGATCGGCAGTGGCATAAAGCATAAAGGAAGCTGCCTCGGGCTCACGGATAATCTTCCACGCTTACTAAACCTTGAAAGATGGACGACAAAAGAAATCGTTAAAACGCTTTGTATCCGAGCGTCTGCGACGGATATGGGGTCATTGATCTTGCCTATATCGTTGCAGATCATAATTCATGTTCTGTAATATCCTGAGCCTATTGGCTTTTGAACGAAGGGTCCCAGCGAGCAAGTGAAGTTGGATCTCAAGTTGTTTCAGTCACGAGTCCAAGCGAGGAATCAAAGCGACGCAGCCGCCTCTGGAAGTTGTACGAACCCGCGCGTCTCACTGACCAAGGCATACAAGTCGTAATGGACAGGAGATGCCGTCACATGCCCCGTAGATTTTTTAGGTCAAGCAGAGTGATAAAATATGGAATGTAGTACGCATAGTTGCTGGGAAAGCGTTTTGCTTGAGCTTTTGATGTGGATCAAAGTGAGCTGGACTGATTGAAGTTCGAGTATGTACAGAGACGAATCCTGGAGCCAGATTCTCGTCCCTTGATCGGGCGCTGCAACAGGCTGCACCAATCAGCGGAGGGGCACCGACTCTCGCTATAATGAGGTAAATTGATCCTGAAAGAAACTTCCACAAAGCGAGCGTAAGATGAGGATACGGTGAGTATATTCACTTACCAATTTTCAAACTTCATAAATTACTCCGCGCCGTCCGTGATAAGAAAAAACGCCAAGAAAAACACAGCCTACAAAAATCTTCACCAATCATGGAGCACAGGGACCCGGAGGTCAAACAAAGTGCCGCTTAGACATGAAGAATAGTCAGCTAGACCATGGTTACTATGTACCGTCTTGCTAATGTGAACCAAAGGGAAGAGGGGAGGCAAGACAGGCTTTGCTATGATCCAGCTGATCCAGCTGATCCAGCAGGAGGCACGAATCGGCATGGTTAAGTTGAGCAGTAGCATTGCGGTTGTTGAATTTGATTGGTTGGGTCCATATGTGATTGGCGTTGACAGCCTTCTGCTTATGGATCCCGAGTGGGCGTGGTCGAAAGTCGTGTTTGGCTTGCTAAGAATCTGTATGGTTGAAGTTGGATGTGGTTGTGCAATGCAAAATAGTGGAAAGGTATCATCTGAGTATGAAAGCCAAAATGCTGAGCAAGCTCGAAAGAAGATAGATGAAAGCCTTAACTCGGTTAGATTGATTGATCAGTGTACCAAATAGATCATGAGGGTCTGAGTGCAAGATCAGTTAGCCAGAGAGAGGTACATGAGAAGTGGGTCATAAGATCTTCATGATGATCAGCTGACTGCTGTTGACTGCTTGCTTGTTCTGAATGAAAGTTGTGCTCGCCAAGTTTGATGAATTCGATCGATCGATGGCTAAAGTCTAAAACGCTTTTTCATCTTTTTGATTGACGATCTACGATGTTGTTTGTTTCACGTAGCTCGAGTCACTCAAGCTCTCAACTACATAAATCCAATTGATGTGCAAAAGACTTGACTTCAGTTTACTTGCAATCTGATGATGATGATCAGATGGTGGACTCACAGCAATATTTGAGATCTAGTCACCCGAATCACGAACAATAAGTGATTTTAATTTAAACTGGATCGATATGTAGTCTAACGTTCTCCTCACTGGTTTGGCTGTGGTTTATCTTTGGTCTGACTCACGAGCTCTCCATCTTTCTCCATCCATCCCAACCTTGAGATTTGAAAAAAAGATCAATCGATGTTGTATGTTGCGCTTGGCCATGTATTTAAATCATCAGCTTGCCACCAGATTTCGTCTTTTTTTTTGCTCACCCTTCCCTTACCTTCCCCTGCCCCTCTTGACTACACTCGTGACTCAATACACCACCACCTTAAATCTACTTCAACCTTTTACTTTTGGGTCTTAAGCTATCTACATAACCTCTACCTGTCAGATTTAGATAATCTGCCTACTCGTACATTGACCGCTAAAAACTGCCAAAAACCATTTGAATTCGACTCTCAGGTCCATTTTCACACCCTAATCAGATATCTTCACTAGCCCATCAGCCTATCGTCAATCTACAAGCATACACACTAATACTTTGTGGTTCCGCTAAAATCTAACCGAATAATCCGTCAATCCCCATCGCCTTGTTAAACTCTTGTGTTTCACCTCCTCACCTGTTCCCCCACTGGTCACCTTGTGCATCAAGCTCACATCGTAATTCCCCCCAAAACATTGCTCATCTCAAACTAATTCTCATATATAAACACCCTACTCCTTGGTCGAGCCCAACGAATCTCATCGATCTCTTTCTTCATTTCTTTTTACCTTTGGTTTTGTTCTTCTAATCTTTCAGTCTCTAATAATATTTTTATTTCTGTGTCTGTTGGTTTGAAGGTGGGAGTCAGTGGTCAATTCGAAGTCCTTTCTAATAACCTTTATCTCGAAGTTTTTCTTTTTGGGCTTCCATCGTCGATTTCATTTTTTGCGACTCGTCTCGTACTCTATCAACTACCAATCCAATTCAATGTCTCTCAGATTCGGTCAACAGCTCACCTCACGATGCCTGCGTCCTCTCGTCCTGCTCGTTGGTTTACGTCACGCGGTTCCAGTTCCAACTACTCTTCGACTTCGTCATGAATCCGAATACGTGCACAACTCTTCATCAACCGCTGCCAACGTCACATTCACCTCTTGCCCTGAGAAGACGCTTGGGCAAGTCAATTACATGGAGATCAGTCCGTGTGAACGCAGCTCGCCTTCTGATCCTTGCACTTTCCGCCACGGCATGTTCGTCTTTCCGATTGCCTTCATTCCATAAGCCCCTCACATTGGCGTCTGACTTTCTTTGTGCGAATTTAGGAACTACACGGTGTCGCTTGGTTTTGTGTCGGAGCGCAACTCGTCAAATCCCCGCAGCAGTGTTGTCGCGCGCGACGGAAACGACTCCTACGCCTATTCAGGCCAGAGTTTCACAGCATGTCGCGTACGCTCCTTTGTTCTAAGCTCCGTCACTTTGGCTTAGTGCATGACTACTAATCAATTCTTCCCTTGTCCGCCACTGCCACAGTACACTCCCTGTCCTATCATTGAGGAGGAGCCATCAACTTACACCTACCAGTTCCACACGCTTGCTTCTGTGCGTCCTTTCCGCTGATCCCCTGTGATTCCTATTACTGACGTGAGAGCAACCCCTCCACAATTTCTGAAACCACAGCCCTTCGACCATCTTACATTCAATGTCACGGATGATTTCGAGGGACCAAGCTTATTCTGCGCTGGTGCCGATATCAACTTTGAGCTATGAGAAACGCACCCCGCAAGCAAAAAAAAGCTCTTCTGAACGCCTTATACTTCATTTTCACTCATCACTCCAAGCTCACGAAAAAATAAATCAAATGCTTCTCAATCTGTTTGGTATCGGCTCTATTAACTTAACAAAAAAACATCATATCTCCGGCAGCCTGGACAATTCTTTTCATGACCCTACTCATGTTGTTAATTAGTTTCATTGTTTAACTCTGATGTATAACCTTCTTATAATGAAAAGCCTGAATGCGTACGATACTACTGTGTCTGAGGACTCGAGGCCTCCAAAACATATATCACCCGGCATTCATGTGGAAGACCTCATTCCCTTTCAGCTTGAGAGTACTCGTTCAATCTCTTCAGTCGCAATCAAAAAAATTGTTGCCGCAGAACAATGGATGTACGTCTCCCAATCTTGGCGATATCAATTTATTTAGCTAGTTTCACACCAGAAATCCTCATGTTCGTGGCCTTTGCCCTGAAGCAACCTACAATCTACCCTAGCTTAACACAAGCCCCTAACCCCCGCAGAGACGTCCCCCGGAGCCTGCGGAGGGGGGGCTTGCGACTTATCGGCAAATTTGGCCTGATACCAATTTCGATTTGGCTGGGACTATCTCCAGCTCGCATTTTGCCCATGTTGCATCAAACAAATCATAGAAGCTTGCTCATTGCAGGATGTAGCCCTTATTTTTCTGCATCTTTTGCTCTCTTCAGATTTTTCATGGCACTCGTACGTCTGAAACTATCTTATTAAACAATTACTTTTCTGAGCCTCATGACTGCCTAGGAAATTTGATGTCTAGATTTATTTTTTATTAAAATTTTACATGTGATTCTGCTGCGATCACGGGTGTATTCAAGTGTATTCCCACATTTGACTGTACTTTACATACACCACGGAGTGGTCCGGCCCATCTGCAGACTGGGACGAAGGCCGTCTGCAGACGGGCCTTTTTTTATATAGTCACGGACCGTCTGCAGGTAGGCGCTGGTCCCACCGTATGCAGACGGCCTTTCAAATATCGCCTGTAGCCAGCCTGCAGGCCGACTGAAGATGGTATGCAGAGGATTGATCACCGGTCTGCACCGGTCTGGGACCTATTAAAGACCAGTCCTCAACAAAGTCCAGTGAGACGGCTGCAAGCCTCAATATTCGGCTAGCCAACAGTTAATTCAAAGAATGAAAATAAAATTGATTCATCAATGGCTTAAAGGATTGTTCAGGAATATACAAATGTGATAATAATGAGTATATAATAAGAAGATACAAGTTGTTTTTAAAATATAATTTTCTAATCGATTCTTCGTATTTTTTAATTAAGATATAATTTTCCAATTGATTCTTCGTGGGTTTGATTTGTAGTCAATTTCATATCAACAGATTGGAGAAAAGAATCTAACATCATAGAAATGGTATCAATTTCTGCTACTGATCAAATTCCACCAGTTCTTGTTATAATCATTCAAAGAAAGAACAAAGTCAGTGATTGGAACCAGTCTTCCTAGATGTAATGAGAATCAATCGATCCCTTTTAAAAGCACCCAAGAGCCGATTACTAATTTATGATGTATCATCATTGTTATCGTCGATTGAATGAGATTTCAACAAGAGTGTTATGATTTTCAGATTGAAAAGATTGAATTTGAGGTTATTATTACCCATGAAGGTCAATGAGACAGATACAATTTTGATTTAATCAGCACACTTACCTCATTACTCTCAAAGAGTACTACTCGATCAGCTTTATCACCTGTAGTCTAATTCGATCGGGCTTAGGTTGAATGGACGGTGTCGTTGATGAAAAAAACAAAGTAATTTAGTTTGATGAGTGCAGGAGCTGACCGATTGGTGCAATGTCAGTTTTTTGAGAAGTTTATTGAGAGCACAGAGATTAAATACCAGTAATCGAGTTTGGCTAAGATGACTGATGGAGGTAAAGAAGGTAGTGAGTCTTAATCATGATGAGATAACAATCTGGTTTCTAATTCTGTCAAGAGTGATTGATCCTGAATGAGTTTAAAACTGGGAGCCGACGGGAGTGATGCTAAAGCTGAAGAGTTTGATAAGTTGATTTGATGATTAGATTAAATGAAAGCAATGATAATATATCTTGATGCAGATTAGCAATTGAATGAAGTTAATCAATTTATTTGATTGAATTTGGTTCTGTTTCTGATATAAATGAACCTGCTGTTGATCGATGATGAAATGGTGGTTGATGGTGATGGGATTGATGAATCCACTATTTAGGATGACCGGATGACAAGTGGACTTGAAACAATTTGAATGGACCCGAAGTACAAATGCTCCGAGCTGTCCCGAGTTCCCTTAAAAGCCATGTTAGGGAAATTCCGGATCAGGGATCAAGTCAAGCTTAGCTTGACTGATGCTTGCCTGCCGGCGGTATCAAGTCGAGCGGCAGCCATGTGACATGCGGCCGACTCAACTACAACGCACACCAGCTGCAGTCCGACTCCTGGCGGTACTCAATCGGACTGCAGCCAGTATGTAGCCGGTTCTTGCAGGCCAGTTTCAGGCCTTTTACAGGCCACTTTCAGGCGATTCTCCGGCCATTTCACGACCCCGACGATCCGCAGACCTCACCGACGCTTTTTCTGCTCAGAAACCACTCCGTGGTGTACCTCTTTGATAAACCATCCGCAGTGGTATGATTGATCTCGTCAAAATTACACTTTTTCAAAGAAACTTGAAGACAAGGCATCATTTTGAAGTCCTTTCAAGTTTGAGGGAGTATGTGTACAAGATGCAGAGGAAAAACTTGCCCTGTTCCAACTTTTGATATCGACAATCGCGGCAAGGATAGTGTTGATTTTGACCAAAAATCGCTGAAAATCCCAAATTTGGATTTGGTATCAGGCCAAATTTGCCGATAAGTCGTAAGAGCATCCACAACGGTCCACCTACTTTGCGAGCCCTGGAACAGACCCCCGATCCTGATTTTGTGGATGTAGGGGGTCAAAAAAACAGGTGTCCACAGCGGTGCACTTGAAGTCAGGGGCCAGAACTCGATTGAGTGATATGGTATGCTTGTACCATATCATCTTGTTTCGAGTGCGGTTTGAGACGTGACTATATCGGTCACGTGGAAGCAGTGGCACGTGATATTGGGAGCTCCTATAGACCTCGCAGATGTGGGGGGTCCGGATGGAAATCTGGAGGCCCCCGACGTCTCACCCCCGATTGTGCGAGCTCCGTTGGAGCGTTTTTTTGCGTTTTGACCCCCTACATCGCTGGGGGCCCGCAAAGTAGGTGGACCGTTGTGGATGCTCTAAGTCCCTCCTCCGCAAGCTCCGAAGGACGCGCGCGCTTTGAGGAGGGACTTAGTTAAGTTAGCAATCTACCAGATGCCCCATCAGTCATATCAAGCCTGGCTCTAGTATGGACATTGCCTAGGGCCAGTGCAGAGCTGGAAGAGCCCAGCATGGCCTAGGCGTTAGAATGAGTAATCCGACCAACTTGACATTAAACTTGGGAATGTCACTGGCGTTTGCAACCAATAATTATTTTTAGTCTCAAAAGTCGTGCCCACTCCTGTTTACTGGAAGAATTGATTGATGCTTTTGATCGAGTTTGCAGATAAACCAAAAATCCAAGTCAATCACTTCCCTTCCTGAGCTCAGAATGTCCAGAGGGAAACAGACTCCCTTGACCATAATTCACACTTTTGGGATCTTTGTACAAGTCATTATGAACAATCCACTCCACTCATCAATATTATGCTCTCAGTATGTATATCATCAAAGTAAAACTGGTTGGTGAATTGCAAGTAATGGAAATACCAAACTCGTCTTGTATATGGGCTTCTTGCTCTACAAAAGATGAGGTGAAGTAGATTTATGGAAGAGAGTGCTTCAGAATATGAAATTAATTGTGCTCCATCGAATATCTGTGTTGGGTCAAGATGACCACCATTTGTTGATTATTTCAAATGTGAATTCTAGTAGACCAAATGATCCCCAGTGGTATATGTATACTCTCAAATCCTCACCCATAGAGGTCACCTAACTGTGTGCATTCTATGTTGGGAGATACCAGACAAACTATCACTAGATCTACCTTTCTTCATTAAGAAACCCTTGATCGCCGATCCCTCATACTGCGATAAATTTGTTTACGCTGACAAGGACAATGTGCATTTCAGCTCTTGATACCTTCCAACAGGTTTCTTGAGTACCTCCGCTTGAAATGCCATCAGCTTCTCTTTTGAGTAAAGAGCTCACCCCTCAGTTTCTGAAGTTATGTTGGTCTGCATTGTAGGATAGCGCACAGCCACAATTTAAATGTGGTACGGAGGGATCTCATGGGGGGCATCAGTGAACTTCATATCAAGTGATGCATTGATTTGGCATTACTCTCAAGCTCAAGTTATCTACAACTCGTCTTTTGAATGTATGTGTGAATCAGTTGGCTTGGCGGTAATTTGATCTAGAGAATCATCGTCCAGTACGTCATCTTGTCGATTCTTTTGGCGCGCCAATTCAGCCACTTCTTTATCGTAGACATCCCATTCGGGTATTAGGCGTCGAGCTCGTGTAAGCTTTGGCTCGTGCGTCAATGGATTGTTGCACAAATCTGTAACAGCATCTAGGTGTGATCAATATTGCACTTATATCTTCATGTCACGAAATAAACATACCAATAGTCTTGGCTGTTTTCAAACCATCGTCTGAGCACCAGGTCTCACACCAAAGCCATTTTTGATCAAGGGAGTACTGAAGGGAGAGAGAGAGAGATCGTGATGATCAGTATAAAACAATGAACCAGCCAGCGTGTATCTTCACTCACAATTGGCAAGACTTCTTGCATATTGTTGGGTAGATCTTGGTCCAGGTTAGCCAGACTGTTTGGATCGGCAGAAAGAGCTTGGTAATGTTGACGGAGTTGGTCTCCAGCGGCAACGGCCCTGAAAACCCTCAAATCCACAACATAGAGTGCACTGAGAGACTCATGATTAGTAGAGTCCTTATTGCTCCCGAATATTATACTTACCTAATGTGGTATGGTCTCCCTCGTAGGCTATCTTTCCAGTATCCCGTATCCCAAAAACGAAATCCCTACACCCACAACATATGTCAGAAAATACTGACTGATATATTGACCGGAGATTTACCTTTGTTTCTTCTCGATCATTACACATAGGAGTATATGCATAAGGTGCACCACGAAGATCGAGATCAACCAATTCTTGTAGATCGGTCCGAACAATCTGTAGGGGGTCAATCAATATAACGTAATAACTTAATACTACATGGCATCCGACAAACCTGATCCGAATCCACGAATATTACCCGGTCCAATTCCAATGGAAATAAAACATCTAGAAAAAGGATCTTATATCTACAAGCAAAAGTGAGACTTCCACGATCGCCCCTGCTGATGATCACGATTAGCTTACCCCCAGATGACTCTCTGTTTCTCTTTTTGAGCTCGCAACCATGGTGGCCAGCGGTATGTTACCAATTCGTACTCGAATTCATACTTTCGAGCCAGGTGCGGAATGAATCTCTTGAAGGATGGTGATAGGAAATTCGAGATAAACCAAACTGATCCGCGCAATCATGTTGGAATCAACAAACAGATCTCGAAGGATTGTGTAATCAGACTTACATTTCACATCACTCTTTGTGTGTCGCATCACGCTGACACACATCAGATAAGCCATTCTCTGAATTACGTATCGAATCAAAGCAAATTTCAGTTTGATGAAGTAGAAACTCGTGTACCAGCAGGTTTTACCTCATAAAGTAGTCCCGATGCGACTGTAAAGACATTTATTACATTTCGTTTCTTCCCTGGGATCACGTCAGACGGCTTGCTCTTGAGAACTCCTGCGGCTCTGTTTGTTGTAAAACGAAATAGGAGCGTCAAGTCCACTAAACGCAAGCCAAATATCGCATTGAAATACTTTGAAACGTACAAGTTCTTGAACTGGCCAATGAGTTTCTGGGTCGTACTAGTATGGGCGTCTTCTGATTCTGACATGGCAGCGACAGGCTGAATCAATTTTTCTTTTTCCTTGCCAGGGCGTTTGCGAAAGCGAGGGAAAAGAAGTAATCCGTCGAATGTGGTCAAGGAGAACTGATGATCCTCATCTGTCTTGTTTTTATCAGTAGATAAGCGATCTTTTCCTGTTTTGAGGTCCACGCGTTCGAGCGTATACAGTTCAGAACTTCGACCAGGTCGGATCTTCATGACAAACATGCCAGGTTCAGCCTTGAACTGAAAGTAACCGAGCTGTTCAGAGGATACATCAAAATTAGCCTTGCGAGAGATTATACGTGCGTCAACATGTATTTAGCTACGCGACGTAACAAACATTTGCCATGATAATCGTATCCACACTTGCAGAGGTCAGCAAGTTCGTCAGGACTACCTGGAGCCCTCTGGGTGGTACTTCGCTTGGCAGCTCTGAGGCGTGACCTGCTATGATAATGTGTTCTAGTTGAAAGACGCCTTCGACCCCTCGTTCGCGCTCCGTCGAGCCAATTTTGGATAACATGATGTTATCAAGATCATGAACAGATTCTAAAGGAAGTGCTAACCAAGCAGGAGGCGCTTCTATCGATAAAGTCAGTAGCACGTCTGTCGGCATGTGTTTAAAGACCACCGACGGGGAGACAGAAGAGCTTTGGAAGCGAGATGTCAGCCTGTGTATGACTGAAGACATCGGCAGATCGAGTGCACTCGACTTACCCATCCTGATCAAATTGTATCCGACTGTGAAATGAGGTGCGAAGGAAGCGCTTAATCGGGAGTTCCTCGACGTGTTGCATAGGGTTAAACCAGACTTTTATGGCGACATCCTTGCGACCGGAGAGGGTCTGCAAAAATTGGAGCTATGAGAGACAAGGCAGGACGAGTGGTGTGGATTGGACGCATACCTCTAATAAAGCCGACCATGACTGTGCAAGCTCACTCGCGGGGTTCAAAATGACTCGAAATTGAATAACGGCAGCGTCGTGATCGCCGTACGATATTGATCTATTGACATGACAGGTGACAAAAAGCTTTGAGGTTTTTGAACTCATAGTGATCTAAACAACAATATACGTACGAGTGTTTACGTTCAGTTAAGGCGTTAGAAACAGCTCGCCCGCGTGTCTTGCTACCAGCCTCGTCATCAGATGATACCAACACAGAACTTATCACGGAGGCAATGTAGGGTACCATGGACTTGATGGTTGTGAAGCGTTCGGGTCTGCGCTTTGTCGAAAAAAGTAAGTTATTGACGTGCAAGGAAGTATTATTTGGGCAGAGAAAGGTGCTCTACCCCAAGACTGAGCGCAAAGCGACTTGTAGTGGATTTGTACGTTTTTGGATTTCGTAGTCGATCAGCATGCGAAGATCACTAGCTTGGAGTACTTGGCTATGAGGGACATCAAGGACCTGAAGGTGATCACACTACTCAGTAAGGCAGCGTTAACATGAGTCAAGGAGAACTACCCACGCGACCATTGATCACCACGGCAACGTGTCCCTCAGTGATATCAAGCTCAGTGATCAAAGACTGCGCGCCTGCCCAAACATCCTCACCATCTTCAGTAGACCGTCTCCATTCCGAAGGCATCTTGCTTAATGAGAAGGATTCTGGAAATGGTTTCGACGGTTGCAAGCCAAAGTGGGCAAACTGATCTGTCACATTCTTGATCAAGATTCCAGGATGCTCAGGTGAATGGATGAGTTGTCCCAGAGAATCGGATAGGCGAGGATCTATATGCGCGTCGGTTTGCTGGCTAGAAGCATGCACAAAACCGACAAATACGGAACCACGGGTTTGATCTGATGGAAATGCCTGCAAAGTGAACGTCAGGTGCAACATATCCCCACACTGCTCCAATAATGGGAAACACATATCGGTATTTACCATCAGCTCTAACAACGCCAACACAGAGGCAGCACCACTCTTCGAGTCCAAATTGCCAATAACCCAGATCGCAGATATTGGGGGCTCGTTGGTTTCGTGATCAGCCTCAACTGCTAAGAGTTGCAGACAGGAATTGGGAGTATGTAAATTAAATCAGCACTATATCCAACTAGTTTCTGGATTGAAAACACACCTTCAGATGCGAAGAGAGTACCGCAGCTCCCAAGCTTGGCAGCCACGAAAGCTTGAACAAGGTTGACGACCCGCACGGGACGACCCGGCGATGGAAATACAAATTCATTCCGTGCAGGGTAGACGCCTGGTAAATCATACAGATAATGCGAGACATCTACACTGCCTTGGATTAATCCGTAATAGATTTGATGTTGTAGAAATTGGATATGAAGCATAGCTGTTTGTTGCAAGTTCATGCGAAAGTCCTGACATGATTGATGACGAGATATCAACACGGGGCATTCTGGCTCGGAGTATGACTGCAACTATGACTGACATCATCGAGTACGAAGAATTTCCCATTGACGAACATACAGCCAGGCACTTCGCCAGATCCTGAGCACAGCGCGAGCCGTCGGATGTAGGATTGTGTTTTTTCTGACCAGGAATTGAAGTCCCCTTCTCCAAAGCTAGCTGTATCTTTTTGATCATCTGAGTCGCTTTCAGGATGAGCTGCGCGATAAGCATCAGCGCGTTGCTTGAAGTCCAACGCGTCAACCATATCGGATGATGTAGAGCTAATGAACTGAGGTGATCAACCGAAAGATGAATGGGTTGTTGATCAGTATGAGGTTGACTCCCTTGTCTTCTTTTTTGCGAACCTGTTTCAGAAATTGCAACATCGCGATGGGGCCACGTGAATGGAAAAGATTCCATATATTGTATATCACGGTATCTGTTGATATCGTAGGACAGAAGTCAGAGTGGATCAAACCCCGTACTCGTTCCTGACGAGTAGATGGGAAAGATACCTTTGAGTGCTTCAGAAGATCCCGAGGCATTTGGATCGTCGAGAGGTACTAAACCCCACCGGATTGGTACACTTCGTGTGATAAATGTCTCGACTGATTCCGTCAATATGCGAAGGTTGGCCGTATGCGTCACATTGAGGGCCAATACCACAGTGATCGTGTTGCGAGCGACCGCGTGCAATTGACCAGGATATGTGGGTCGAAGAAACTGAAATCGTAGTGGGTGTCAGCATGAACCAGAGGGAGAAAAGCAGTTAAAGATGTATACATCGCGTAGACTCTTTGGCCAAGCAGCATATCTTGTGTCCTTCTCTAAATCGTTCAACCAAAGGATCATTTCTCCGTGCTCCAACCTATCACTCGCATCGAACCGTTCGCCAAGAATACTGGGATCAATCTCCAAGTCATCTGACCGCGCCCCGCCCTCACCAGACAAGGCTGAGTTCAATTGCTCGTCAGTGACCAGCTTTCGGATCTCAGATACAGATAACCCGAGACTGGTCAAAGATTTAATCCATCGGCGCTCATCGCGCATTAATTGTATCAGCTTGAAGAAGTTGATGTTGGCCACTGGTAATACTGATGATATATCCAAACCGTTGATCCAGATTGCTGATTGTCCGGGTTTAACGACCCCTTCAGCAGCATTCTCCTTGAGTTCTCTGTCCAAGTCTGCATTTATTTCTCCCGGAACCCAATTCTTCACCAAATTATATGCATGCCTGGGAAAATCTTCAGAAAGAACTCGCAGAGCACTTAGCGGATTAGGCGAGGTCAGTATATGTTGAGTTGCTTTTAACCCGATAGTCGAGAATTCGTCGGCCTGGAGGGGGATAATGACAGTTGAGGTCTCAGGAGCATCTTCCTTGGTGTTCTCCTTTGTTGATTCAGACTCAGAATCGCGCGATTCACGAGAGTTGGTCTCGACAGGTCGATCATCAACTGTAAGATAGTCTGATTTCTTGATGTCCAATCTGGTAGCCCAACCACTGAGATGGCTAGGACCGATCGAAGAACTCTGTGAGTCGTCTGAAGAAACTTGCCATCGAAAAATATAGGTGGCTCTGATTGGAGAACTACTCGAGGCTTGGTGTAATACGTCGTGGAATGGGCCAAAAGAGCGCGGGTCGTTAGAAGCGTACAAAATGACAACTGGGACAGATGGTGGCGGGATGTGGCTTCCAGGTGGGCAGATATGATCAAATGACAAGATACGTGGAGCAGGGCGATCTCTACCTCAAATTGAGCAAGAAAAAGTAAGGATCAATGTGAGAAGCGACATTGGATTTCAAAGGCTGGTTCCCGTACCTGAGGTCCTTCGGTGCCGTTTCTGCGTCTTCTTCGGAGTTCAAATATCGATCCAGTAGAGAGGCATCGCAAAATCGGATACCGTGGACGTCTGCCCAGCTTGTGCACTCTGAAGTTGTAGGTGTAACATTGGATACTCGATCTGCATGCGTCTGTTTCAAATCGAGAGACCGATACCATGCGCGGAAAGCTTCGATTTTGGGAGAGGCCTCTTTCAAGGCAATGCTCGTCTCTAGAGATTCGATTTCACCCTGGTCGTTGAGTAATCCATTGAGTGTAATTTGATTCAGAGTTTGGTTATATATTTGCTGAGGTGTCAGTGACAGTGAATCTATCGTCCTCCAATGCTTGGAAACCGCGGTGAGGATTGGGAAAAATGAGTCCGATCGCTCGATCGCTGCTGATTCGCTGTGGATCAAGGTCGAACATGGCGAAGCGTATCAGCATACTTGGCCAACAACGATACTAAGAACGATGAGGTGAAAAGTAGGCGACTCACATAATTTGGATCAGCAAGGGAGGTTCGGGCCATGTGGCTTGAATCGAGACAGAAATGGGAGGTGAGAGAGTCGAGACGTGAAAAATCGTCCAGCAGATGACCCCTGCATACGTCCCAAGCTGAGAAAGGCCGAGCTTGGGCATCAAAGAACGGTGTTTGATATAGCAAAAGTGATGGTGTGACGGTAAACTAGCGTGTCAAATGGCATACAGGCGACCAGGAAACAAAAAATCAAAGTGAAAACGGTAGTTTTGGTCGCCAGGTCATCTCGTCATCTCGTCAACTCTCAAATATCTTTCTATTCATAGCAACTCTCAACACCTCTCCTCGAGCTGAAAGAATGTGCACCATCGGCCATCGTCCAACAAGCATCCTTTCAGCAAGTCAAATATATCACATTTGATTCAGAATCTCTTCTGAATTGCGTGGCACATGCCTCAATGGCAACAACTTTTTGTTGTTGTCAAAATCTGCGGAGTGTCATGTAGGTTTACAAGGTCTATCAAGCTCCAAGAACCATACAAACTTCTATATATTTAACAAAAGAACAGCGCAATTTTATGCGTTGATGTCCAAAGGTTTTTGTTCAGTGATACATCAAACTGGCTATGACAGGAAGTCTCTTGACAGATAAAATTCTTGGATGTCAGAAAGTTGTTTTTCACAATAGTCCTTCACACAATGCCATGCGAGACATAATATAGCAGCAAACTGGCAAGCAGGTTTTATGTTATGAGAATCCCACCTTACCTTGTCAGTGTGACCGCCACAAGATAACCAAAACACCTTTGTTCTTGCTCCTCTGCCTTCTAATTGCTCCATCACACTCAATCACCTCAACATTTCTGCTATCCTGAATCCTTTGATTCCATGCAAACAATGGATTTTGTCCAAAAGAAGATCCTCTCACTTTCCAGACTTTTCAAATATCTCTGATAAGATGCATTGCATATTGAGTAATGGTTTTGTTTTACATCCTGCTTGCTTGTTCTTCGTGACTTATTGCAACAGTCTAATAATAAAAGGCCATGATATTGAATTTATTTCAAAACCATTTCTCCAACAATCAGGGTACCATGCTGCTCTGATCTTGGTGTGGATTACAAGTTTATTTGTTTCAAGGAACATGTCCCACCAATAGGCATAGGCTTTGTCTTAAAACTGACACAGAGCATGGATTTGGCTATGTGATGTGGCAGGGGCCTGGATGTCTTTCCCATGGTAGCAAGACAAAAACAGAGGACAGAAGCTGCAAGAACAAAGAATGGAAAAGTACAATGTGGGTGGCAATGAGTTATTCACTGACAAGACTGTGAACCCATATGTACCATCTGATAAAGGGAAAACTCTGCCTTATTGGTCTTTTCTCACATTGAAGGGTGTTGGGTGGGACATAAAATAACAAGTGAACTGGGAGTGGAAAAGATCATATGCAAATTGACCAAACTATCATGTGTAACTTGACGAGGAAACAATTGGAGTAAGTGATCCTTTGTTAAAACAAATCTAGACATTGGTATTTTGGTAAGAGGAGAAAAGAAAAAATCAAAGTAAACAGTGATTACAAAAAGTGTGAGGTTACCTGAAATTTTTCATCCTGACCACTTAAACACCATTTATGGGTTTATCTTTTTGAAAGGTTACTTACACCTCTTCCAGTGCTGTAAGACTGCTCTGATACTTTTTCCCTGTATAAACTCTGCATACCAGCTCCAAAGAGATATGATATCAATTTATGATGAGAAACTGTTGGTTACAGATGAAGCATTTCAAGTGCTTGAAGAACCAACAATGGTTAAGGCTATTTCTGGACGTAAAATTATGTGGAGAGAAGCAGTGTTTGCCCTTGAAAGAACCTTCAGATTGAAATTTGAACCCAATACTTAGCTCAAGAAAAGCAAGTTTACAAAGCTTGTATGAAACATGAGAACTTGCTTTAATGCCTGACCTTTGGATTGGCCTGTTCTCCTGAACATTGCTGTGGTTATTTGCATAGAAAGTTAGCAAAAAGCTTCACCATTTGAGGTTTCCCAATATCCTGGAAACTCATACAAACACTTGAAACAGAAAAACACAGTATCACTCAAGTAATTTTTGTACACTGGTGGCATTGCCAGGTTCTGAAACACCTTAGGTTACAAAGCTCTAAACAAACAAACAACTTTTAACGCACCGTGACCTGAGATGTGGTGAGGAGGTCTGTGGTTTTGAACTTTATTTCAAAATTTGACCATTGACCATCCTCAGAGCCAAGCATACCCTTGAAGAACCTCTGAAATCATATGTATCACTTTTTCTCATTGGTGAAACAAATTGGAGTGGATCCCAATCTTTGCAGTGTTGAGGAAGAGACAATATGCTTAAAGTAAGTGTGTAGTGTGCGACATGCCTGTATATTTCCATGACATTCAAGTCTGTAGTCTTATAGTGAGATGAATGATGATGACATGACCGTGCCCTTGATCGGGTCATCTCAGATTAACAATTCAAAGATTGTTACTTCGGAACATTCATATCATCATCCATTTAACAGTTCAGGTATATTTCTCATTCTACTTCTTATCTCCCCTTGAGAGTGATTCATACTAATTTACTTTCAAAACATCATCAAACCTTCATCTTTACTATAGCTAAGTAACTCATAAAATCAAACACTATCATGGTCAGTTGACTTTCAGGCCTTTGATTCATTTTCATCCGCATGGCAAACTAGTTTTCTCAAGAAAATTCACTGGAATTCATCCTTTAATACTGATTGATTTTGATTCAACAGGACAAAATCAAAGAGGTATGACATGCTCTGGGAAGATATCAAGGCTAGATGATCAACTGATCCAACTCCGTATCTCAACTAAACGCCTCATTAGAAACTTGCCACTCTCCGTGCCGAAGCGGATGCAGGTAAGCCACCCCATCTCATACCTTTTCTCTTCGTTGACTACTGTTCTCTATCTTTCTGTTTACTCATCGTGTTCATGTTCTATGCATTCCGATCATCTCGTTTTATATAGCTATCGAACGAGCTGAGGCCGCCGAGGCCAAGAATAAAAAGCTGGAATTGGAAACGATGAATAAAGATCAAGAATTGATTTCTTTACAGCATAAGGTCAGCAACCTTGAAGCTGACCTTGAAGCAGCGGAACAAAAGATTACAGATGCCAAGACGGCAAGAGAGGAGGAAGAAACAAATAGGTCGACTAACGAGAATCTGAACCGAAAGATTGCTCTTCTCGAAAGTGAATTAGATAACGCTGAGAAGAACTTGAGAGAAACGACAGATAAGTGAGCTAACTTTCTGGTTGACCAAAAACGTCTTACTCTTGTCTTCACTGTAGCTATCCGACTGTTGTCATTCCCAGGCTCTTGGACTGATATCTTTTGTTCCCGTAGACTTCGACAGGTCGATGTTAAAGCCGAACACTTCGAACGTCAAGTGCAGCGTATCGAGGCGGAGAGAGATTCATGGGAGACAAAGTTCGTTGACACTGTCTTCCGGAGACCTTTGTCCAGATCTAATTTAATTCTTGTTTATTAGGTGGGAACAGACGCATGAGAAGTACCTTGCCTCGAAGAAGGAACTCGACGAGGTTGTACAACAGATGGAGGTTAGTGGCTTTATAACTTAACTTATGTTTTCTTTCATCAAACTAACTGACTATTCCTTCACTTTGGGAAAAAGTCTCTTTGAGTTCGTCATTTTGATTTCTTCAATGGCTGTTTCTATCGAAAGTCACTTTGTCTTTGCCATTGTTTTACAAGTTATATTCATATCCAATCAAGTTTTCTTATCATTGCTAGTGCCTTTCAGAAAAATTTGGTCGGTGGTTTCGAGTAATAGACATTTTCTTTTGTCGCAACTTTTATTGGATCAGATTAAAGTCTATTACTACATTCTACCATGGGTATAGGAGTGATTACGTAGCACAACGACTTTGTTTTTTCAATACTAAGTATATGGTGACTTTCGATAACTATGTAGGTCTGTACTAGGGGTACCTTCAGTGTGAATTGGAGCGTTGATCAAAGTCAGGCTAGCAAATGGGTTCCACTCAGGGCTTGGTCATTTTTTCAAATAGAATATTTCCATGCATGTCAGTAACAGTTTAGCTCAATGCAAGTCAATGACTTGTCAGCCTTCAACACTTCAGATAAGACTATCCAGCTGGTCAATTATCAGCCGCACTTGATCGAATATTGATCAGCCTCAGGAGCATCAATGTGCTACAGTGAGTAATTCAGATGATAGTAGATGAGCTGCCCCTTCTACTATGACTTGATAATATTGAAGGGCAATCTTTGATGAAATTGATTATTTATCAAGAGTTTGAGCTTTTCAAAATGAAAGATGTGCACCCCAGACTACCAATGAAACAAAATTCAAAGAGCATTGAAGATGAGATTTTAAATCCAACTCTTGAGGGATCAATGGAAATGTTTAATCCAAAGTTACGTTCTTGACCAACCATCATGTTGAATAGACTTCATGCTGGTCTCCTTTTGAATATATGAAACAACTGGATCTTAATAACGCTCTGATCAGTAGATGCAATACATAACGGTAACCATTAATGTAAGGTCTGAAGTTGAACACCTCGTTACTTTACTTGATTTTCTTTTGAGGGATCCTTCAATTGGGCTCCAGACCAAAATGTAGAAATAGGTGATATGATACAAACTTGATGTTTCCTCTTTAAATCAATATTGTCAGCAAGCTGAGCAGATAAATCTTTCTATGTAGACTTTGGCCTTGTGTAAAGATGAAATGATCGCTTTTTTCTACTTTGATCATTCCAGTACTTCTAGCTATATAGCCCAACATGGTACAACTTGTTTTTTTAGAAAACACTCGAGAAAAAATCGAACATCAAATTCTTATCTTTTTGAAAGGTCTCTTTGAACACCCCTTGCTTGAAAGCTTTAAGTTGAAAATCTCATTTTTTCCTTCATACGAGAAAACTTTCCATCATTACAAATTTCAAAAAGAAAAACCACAATTCCCTTCCACCATAAGATAAACAAAAACAAAGACAATGGAAACACACACACACAATCAAATCAAATCATAAAAAAATCTTTCAAAACCCTAAACCAGACCAAAATAACCACTTTAACGATCCTAAAAAGTTTTTCCGCCCCGTTTTGAAAGAAATTCAACACAAGATAAATTTGATGATGTATCACGCCCTGATCACAAATTTGGTTTTCAAGATTCATCAACTTTCGACTTTTTATTCATTCCAGTTTCCACATCTTCCTCTAAAGACCTTTTCCCCATCTCTTTTCCAACCAAACCATCTGTTTCATCTTTCTTCACTTCAGTTTCTTGCACGGGATTCTTTTTCCTTTTAACTAACATACTTAAATCGTTCACTACCGATGTTCCATTCTCATTCTTATGTGGTAAAACTACATCTTTCAAATACGCTTGCAGAGCAATCTCTTTGGCATCTAATGGTGCTGCTTGTGGTACGGTTTTTAATTCTTCAAGTTTAGCTTCTAAATCTTCTAGAATCGATTGACATTCTTGAATTTCATTTGAATCATCTACAGGTCGATTTGAACTCTTTGAAGAATCGACTTTAGAATCAGTTGATGTAAGATTAAGATTCGATTTCAAACTTTCGATATAAGTTTTCATTAACTCAATCGCATTTTCAACATGTTCTACTGATTTTGAAATCGAATCTGATCTTTCGGGTAAAAGTTCATATGCTAATGCTGTCCAAAGATGAGTTTCTGCCATTGATCTACGTGAACAAACTTCGGTTGGTAAAGATTCTTTAACCTTTAGTGAGCTTAAATACGAATTGAGTGCTTCATCGAACTTGTCTAGATCAAAAAGGAACACGTTATTTTGAGAAAAGTCAAAAATTATAATGAGTTGCTCTGTGAATTGTATAGGAAATTTTGAAAGAGTCAAGAAAAAACAGCTGACCTCCTTCTTGATGAACTTCAGCTAAAAGTTCAAAGACTTGAATCAATTTCTTCTTCAACTTAATAAATTCGTCATGATTTGATGCTTTCAAACTTTCATCTGATAATTGAATCTCAATCGAACTTCTAGCCAATTCAAGTACATAAAAAGCAGCTTCAAGTTCTTCTTCAACCGTACATTGTTCTAAATCATCTTCATCTGATCCTGCCTTTTCTTCTTGATCTTGATCTTCATCTTCATCTGAAGAATCACCTGAGAAATGGATATGAGGATTGGTATTGGTTGGTTTTGATCCTGAAGCTTTTTTTGATTTGAGGTCAGAAGACCCAGAAGGACCTGAATGAGAAGATCATAAATTTGTCAGAAACAAACAATTAAACACGTTCTCTAAAAGATTGTCTTTGAATATGAAGCTTACCAGATCGATTCGAATCTTGAACTTTTTGATTTGATTCAGGTTCCGGTTCATCTTTATTAGGTTCACCACCACCACCGCCTAAACAAGCATTGAGTTTAATAGCATGTTTAACTAAAGCTTTACCATAAAGAATTTGAGCATCCACTACAGCTGGATGTTGATCACCATAATGAATTGATAAAGTTTCACATGCTCTAGAAAATGAATCAGTTGCATCTTGATAATTTTTTAATGCAAATGATTTAGATCCTTCTGCTAGATCCGATTGAATTGATTTTAATATCTTTTCATTGGGTGGTTTGATTTGGTTTGTAGATTTCTTTGATTCGGTATTAGTTAATTGATGGTTTTCAGCTCTAATGAATAAATTAAAGTTGAGTTAGTGAGTTGAAGGAAGTTGGAATTCGATTGAGGAAGAGAATTGATGATAAGAAAAGAACGCGTACGGTTTAGAATCCATTGTGATTGATTTGTGGTTTCAATCAACTCGCTTGATGTATGCTTTGAAAGGTTCTTAAATCTCACTACGGTACCTTACGGAAGCCCTGAGCGTGGGGTCCGCCAACCCTCTTAAACACATACACAACACCACCGCTCAAAAGCTCACCACTTCAAACTTCAACATCTCTAAAATCAAATTCAACCCATTTCTGTGGTGCTTCCACGCGTTTGGCGCACCAATTCGACTCGGCCTACATATGTAGAGGCTTCTTCATCTCCATCCATCCCCATCTCTTTGCGCATTGAGCTCACCCTTGGACGATAGAGCAAGACTTTGATTCAACTAACCCCAACGATATCAAATTCACTACCTCTGTTCAACTTCGAACGCCTTTCTCTTTTTCATTTCACTTATAATCACTAAAATTGTAGAAAACAGCAAAAACAAACATTCTACAGCAAAGCTCGCAAGCTGGGTTTTCAACAATGAACAATTATTGACTAAGGTTAAACTTATAATTCTCTATGACAAAATTCAACAGCTAGAGACACCACTTGATGAGACAGTTTTTGAAAAAGATTGTAATCATTATTGAGAGATGATTTGAGAAAGTCTAGCCTGCAATCACAGCCAACATCTATGGAGCTAGAGGCTGGTTCAAGCCACATCAACACTTCCTGACCTTCAAACAGAGCCCCACCTTGGATGTAGTAATTTTATCAAAAGACTGAGTTATGTAGTGAATGCGCAAATTTGAAATGGGCCAAAGCAACTGAGTGTTGAAGTTGAACATGAAAATTTACCTTCCTTCTATCGAGCTGATCACCTTACCATAAAGATCCAAACAGGTTGGTTGACCAAATCCCTTTACTGCTCCCCAGTCAACGTTTCATCGTCCTGTTCACCTTCTTGACAGATTGCCTGTTAGCTACCAATCGCAGGCGATCCAGATTGGAATACATGGGGTTGCCTTTGATGTAGGAAGTTCCGCACGTCGAGTCTCAATTGTGTAGCTGGCGTTCAAACGAGCAAGAAATTCAAGTTCGGACATCTGCATTTCGCCCGTTGAACGTTTTGCCTCAAGTCGAGACCAGCAGGGGTGGTTATCCTTTGTGATATCGCGAGGTCGAGCCAGTAATGTGATCGTACTCATTGGATAATCTACAGCGAGTCTAGAAGAGTCATCACAGCAAAAAGCACCCCGATTCCCTTGATATCATTTTGCCACCATGTTAATCTTGAAACCCATCCATTGGGTTATCATGTTTTGAGTGAGGATTGGTATTTGCACGTGACTTCTGGAGCAGGATGGACGATATCGGAAATACAGCTTGAGGTCGAGTGGAATGAGATCGTGAGCAGCAGGTGAGTCGAAGAGTCGATGACGGAGAGGTGGCTCAAATTGGTGATGGGCAAGGATGGGCATATGAGATGTGACGTTGGATGTATGTAGTAGGCGGTAGTTGTATGTCAAGCTGTGGGCGCCAGGGTGAGTGCGCCGCACAGGGGTGCGGGCGCACCCTGCGACGCACCTCTCGCACCTGAGAAGCTAAAAAAGGGGGGGGGCGAGGGGTGCGACAGGGCTGAGCTGCAAGGGATCTTGAGGCTGCCCAGTGACAACAGGCAGAATTTTTTTCTTCAGCTCCCTCTCACATACTTCAATGTCCGGTCCAAACAGCTCCAAGTGGATTCTGCCCAACTCCAAACAAGGGCCTCGATGGCAAGGTTTT